TAGTTTGGTATTTCGTCGACTGTTCGGACGTGAGAGTGGACGATCCAGGCAGCGATCCTCTCGCCCACCTGCGCGTTACTAACTCGAAAGTCACGAGTATCACCAGGGTCGCCGGGGTTCTTAAAGGAACCGGGTCCGTCTTCGAGAAGGTGAACATCGATAGCATTCATCAGTTTGATTTCCACCAGTCGCAGATTTCCCGACTGGCCATCCGCGCCACTCAGAAGAAGTCTACGATCATCGAGTCTGAAGTGGAGGTCGTGGACTTCTTAGAGGTCGAAGGTCAGTTCCTCTTCGAGATAACACAAAGCAACATCACGGAGATCAAAAAGTTTATCTTTAACACAACGGATAACGATTCCCGCATCGTCGGTACGAATATCGGGACCATAGGGCGGGAGGGCTTCGTGGTTTCCGGCAATAAGCTGCTGCTGGAGGATGTCAAGATCACGACCCTGGCTCCTAGGGCCTTCCTCGTCCGCAGCAACCTCGTCTTACGGAACAGCCAGATCCAGCACGCCGAGAGCGACAGCTTTGTGCTGGAAAATGGGAGCATCGATTTAGAGAACGTGATGATCGGGGACAAGAACGTGTCGTTCAGTATCGACAAAGCCAGCGGGGGACTGCTCGTGTTGGCGCTCATACTTCCTCAATCCTCAAACGCAACTGGAATTGCTGTAGGAATACCGCTGAGTCTCCTCTTTGGCATCCTTTGCGGAGCAGGCTTGGCGTACCTTATCCTGCGAAGGAGAATGCAAGGCCAGGACCGTTCGCAGGATAACATGGAGTTGCTTCCGAGCACGGACCCCGTGCCCGCCCTTCTCTCCAACCCCCGCCGCCCACCCCGACCACAGCACCAGACCCTTCAGGAGGAAAAGGACCTTAGCGACGACGAAATCTATGAGGAATACGATGAGGTCACCAACCAAGCCCTGCCCCTCCGAAGCGTCAACCTCCTGCCGGGGAGCCACTTGCTCAAACCTTCCAACCACCTCTCGCCTCCGGCCGGCGCGCACTCGAACGGCGGTCCTCCTGCCCCCTCGCTGGCCGCGCTCGCCCCGCCCCCCGGAACTTCCTCGGCGAGAGAGCCCATCGCCTCAGCCTCCGAGCAGGGAAGGGGCTCCTCTACCGAACAAGCCGCCCCCGCCCGCCCGCCAGCCACCCGTGTCCGAGAACAAGCCACAGCTGCCCAAGCCACAGCTGCCCAAGCCCATCAGCAAACCCGAAGAGACGTCCTCGGCAGGCGACTGCGAGCTGGAGATCTACGACGAGGTCAGTGAGCAGTATGTCCCTGCGCCGCCACCGACTGCCCAGCGCCCTCCGATCCCCGGGGGCAAACCGTCCTTCCTTCACAGGGGCAACGAAGCCCAAACCAGCCCGCGATCTCCCCCTGGGGTCGACCCTGAGAAGTCACGTTTCGTACTTCCAGGGTTGCCGAAGGGACGGGTTGATCCGCCCGGGCCGAAACCCCCTGGAAACGCAGTAGGGCCGCCAGCTCCCCTGGCTCGCCCGTGGGGGAAGCCACGCACTCCACAGTGGCCTCCTGTCACACCCTCCAAGCCGCCGCCGCCGCCCTCCGAGCTGAAACCTTCGTCGGGGAGCGTCAGCGTCGAGGACGACGACGAAGCCATCTACGAAACGGTGCCGGAGTGAGTTGTCAGTTTAGGAAAAGTCGAGACTGATGGAGGCAATGAAGGAGAAAACTGAATCCGTTGCCAGTAGAAAGGGGATATAGACACACACTCACTCTCACTCTAACTCTAACTTACTCACTCACTCACTCTCTCTCTCTCTCTCTCTCTCTCTCTCTCTCTCTCTCTCTCACACACACATACACACACAAGTATCTGTACATATAGTTGCATACGTACTTTGTATGTTTTGGTGGTAAATAAGCCTGGTACTCGATGTGACAAGAACCTGGATAACAAGTAAACTGCCACTCAGAAGAAAAAGAAAAGGAAAAACGAAAAGAAAAAGAAGAAGAAGGAGAAACGAGTGCCATCCGACAATAAGGCGAATGTACATAATTCCCTCAACCTCCTGTACAAAACGGCTGTTGGCAACTTTTCCTCACTTCATATCCTATCATTTATATGCATATATTTTGCATGTTTCTTGTTCTTGTTACAGATATTCTTTATTTCTCTACCTTATGTACATATATAATTTCCTTGGCATCCGCAGCAAATTTGGTCTGTTTTACGTTGTTATGATTGTAATTAACTGATAGATTAAAAGCTTATCTTTATTATCAGTATCATCAATTAACCATTTTTTTATTATTGGCTATGCTATGGTTCTGATGGTAAAGATGAATATAATCATTATCATCATTAATGCAATCACAATAATAATAATGACACTGATAGTAATAATAATGATAACAGTATTAACGGTATTGATAATAATGATGTGATAATATAAATCGTGATAATTCTTATTGCTGTCATCATGTTTCTAATACAAGTATCGTTGCTATGATTATTCTATCAGTTATCATCGTTATTGTTGTCATTGCTATTATAATCATCGTTATTATTACTGTTGTAATAATTATCATTATAGTCATTATTACCATCATTATTATCTTTATTACTATTATTATTATCATTAGTATCATAATGATAATAATGATAATAATAATGATAGAAATAAAAATAATAATAATAATGATAACTGTGATAATATTATCATAATCATTATCATTACTATTATTATTATTATCGTCATTATCATCAATATTACTATAATCATCATCATCATCATCATAAGTGTCATCATTATCATTGTCACTGTCATAGTATTATCATCACTATTTCCTGTTTCTGCTCCTTTTCATCATTATCTTCGTTATCAGCCTCACTGCCATTATCCGCTCACCAGTACGATTCTTATCATCCCGATTATAATTATCATTGTTGTTATTGCTGTTATTGTGTTGTAACTTTAACCTATTAGCATCACATTAAACCCATTATTAAGAAAAGTGTTTCAAACTATTGATGGTCTTTTAAATAATTTCGTTAGGGTATAAAAGTTCCACAATGGTAATTAATTAAAAAAAATTAGAGAGAGAAGAGAGAGAAGAGAGAGAGAGAGAGAGAGAGAGAGAGAGAGAGAGAGAGAGAGAGAGAGAGAGAGAGAGAGAGAGAGAGAGAGAGAGAGAGAGAGAGAGAGAGAGAGAGAGAGAGAGAGAGAGAGAGAGAGAGAGAGAGAGAGAGAGAGAGAGAGAGAGAGAGAGAGAGAGAGAGAGAGAGAGAGAGAGAGAGAGAGAGAGAGAGAGAGAGAGAGAGAGAGAGAGAGAGAGAGAGAGAGAGAGAGAGAGAGAGAGAGAGAGAGAGAGAGAGAGAGAGAGAGAGAGAAGAGAGAGAGAGAGAGAGAGAGAGAGAGAGAGAGAGAGAGAGAGAGAGAGAGAGAGAGAGAGAGAGAGAGAGAGAGAGAGAGAGAGAGGAAACAGAAGGAATACAGTATCCGTTTTCTGTGTAGCAGACGTCCCAACAATTAAAATTTCAACCGCAACCTATTTTGCCGTAATGCATAATAACTTTTTCTTGTCAAACCTTGAAATCTTGAAATACGTCATGATTTTTGTAACTCACACATTGTAAAGGAATGCGGGTGTGTCTCTGTGCATTTAGGTCGATTGTAGCTTGCTTCTGGCGTAGGAAAAGTCCGGGTTGATTAAATATATATTATATATATATATATATATATATATAATATATATATTATATATATATATATACATATATATATATATATATATATATATATATATATATATATATATATATATATATATGTATAATGAAAACTAGGAATATGTACGTCTATATTAATGAGACTAATATATTACGTGACTCTTGTCACCTTTTTTTCTTCGACACAGGCCTCGAAAGGTCGTAAATAATCGAGAAATGCGTCTAGACGTAGATTCTCCGACATAGGTCATTGGAGTTGACTATTACCGATTTGCTTGACTCGCGTCCTCCATTTTTTTCTTATTAGGAAAAAAATGTCATGGTAGGTTAGAAATACCGGCTCACATAACTCATGACTTCCAGTTCTTCGGCACAGGTCATGGGAGGTCACAAGTGTAGAAGCCATGAAAGAAGAGTTCATGCTTGATTGACGCGGTTACTATTCTTTGATTGACGGTGTTACTATTCTTTGATTGTTCTTCGCTGCATGGTCGGCGGACCGTGCCTTTTCAAATACCTTTCTTCGTCATCACCATTTTTCTCTCTTCCGTTCGCTTGTTTGTAGTTTTTTTTTTTAGCTTTTTTATATTTTTTCCCTTCATTGTTGCCTGCGTATCTCTCGCTATTGGATTTTTTTCCCCTCGCGACATAATGGGTTTCGAGTGAAAATCCCAAAATATAAAAAGGAGTACCATTTTTTTTTTTAAAGGTATCATCATATTGAAACTATTTAACCGTTTACAGTATTCCACCTCATGATGTCTTATCTATCTATCAACCAAGATTCGATACATCTCTCCTGAATGTACGTAAGAAATCCAGCTTCTATAGGAGACATGTCTTTAAACATGCCACCGCAAGTCACTCCTCTTCGACCACAAAACCTCGCGGCCGAAGACATCTCTACCTCCTCCTATCTCATCTGGTTAGAAGTGAAAGGTATTTTTAGTGATTTATGTGTCGCCCGCGGCAAAACCAATCAGGCGTATGTAAATTGAGCTTTTTGGTCGCGCTGTGGAGTTGGTGGAGGATTTCCAGCCAGTTCCACCGCAGGGGATTCGTGCAGGCGAATGCTGTCTGCAACCGTCTGCAAAAATGGACCTTACACGAACGACTGCGCGGCCTATGGATGATCTGTACATCACATGGTACACGAACTTGAACTTCAACATTACCGCATAAAAGAATTTACGTTCGGGTGGATATCCTAACCTGGAGACGAAAAGAAACACCGGATCTGTGCTATTCCCCTCGGCATACCACCCCCCTTCCAGCACCAACGAAATTACTTGTTTTGTCGAGAATCTGTTCAACATTCTTGCCTTCTCTGTGGAACATGTACCTCTGGCGTGACGGGCGTGCATGGCTGGTTGCACTACGGCCCATAACGCCCCAAGAAAGCCAGAGAGATTTTTAACGTCCAGCTTAAGTGCACCCGATGGGGGAGAAGAGTCGCCATATTCTCTACCTGATGGGTGTCAGTCGAGGCGAGGCGGGACGAGATGTACACAAAGCCGAAACCAAATTATCGGTCTAAATCGAGCACATCGTTTGACCGCTTTTTGTTACCACTAAATGGAGGAAAAGGGAGAGATCGCGAAAGCATGATAAAGTAGAAGAACGGAGGTTAAAAGAAAAAAGAAAATGTGAAGTAATCGGACTGTGGGCGGGGTCGTCACACTCTGAATGCTTTTCAAGACTGGTCTTTAAGCGAAGAGATAAGTCAAGCTTTACCATAAAGCGTGAAGCCCAGAGTTATGTAGGATCTGTCTACCTTCAGAGCACCCTAACGGAGCTTTGTGTAAATAACTAGTATGTGCATACAATGACACGCGTAAGGAAACTAACCTACACAATATGAAAAAGAGACAGAACTTGATATTTGCAACAAGGCAATGGCGACTTTATTTTGTTTTACAGTAACGCACTATCTTCCTGTTGTGATAAAAATAAATAGAAAGCCTTTTATTGGTAAAATATACAACAATTTGCTCAGAATTAAGCCTCAGACAAGAACGAAAAAAGGGGTCTCTCTCGCCAGCACATCAACACACACAGTTCTTTGTTTCTAACCGACCAACCTCGGGGAACGATTAATCAAATGACGGCGTTTGTAAGGCTTTTGTGAACAATTTTCACCTCCCTTTAGTCTTGCTTGTATAGGCGTATTTTTTTCTCTTCTCCTCCTGTCTGTCTTTCTGCGTTTGTGTGTATACCTTTCTTGAAGTAGCTACATTTCGCTCTACCTATTTTTTCTTGTTTAAATATGTTTGTTTGTGTCTATTTAGCTGTCTCTTTACCGGGGTATGAGAGAGAGAGAGAGAGAGAGAGAGAGAGAGAGAGAGAGAGAGAGAGAGAGAGAGAGAAGAGAGAGAGAGAAGAGGAGAGAGAGAGAGAGAGAGAGAGAGTGAGTAAATTTGTGAAAAAGAAAGTTAGCGAAAAAATGTTATAGACACGACGCCAAACCACTTGACTATTCAAGAAGCAATTTTGTCTCAAATACCCCTTTTTTTCTTGACGTACCACATTTTTTTCTCTCTGTACTGAAGTCGTGACGTTACTTCCGCTGTCTGCTTTTCACAAAGACTTTAAAGATACTGACACGAAAAAATATTATTTTATTTTTATAGATCAAGAGACTTTCAAGGTTAGACCAAATCAATTCATTGAAGAAATACCACTGAATTGTTGGTGTTGATTTGGTTCTCCAAAGTAAAGTATATTCAAATATATATTCTTAGACATTAGAAAATGTGATCTAAGGAATCTAGATCAATTTGAAGACAGGTAAGTTGTGATAAACTCCTCCGGCATGATGGGACTGTAGTGCCATCTATTGTTTGTCAGTAGAACTGTAAGCTTTCTTACTTTCAGTATAAAGTCATCAGTGTTTATTGATAAATATTTATATATTTAATAATGGATGTCCATAGAAAAAGAAATAAGTGAATAGAATTATAATAAAGAATAATTAAAGAGGCTGTTATCTAAAGAAAAAAGTGTGATGAGAGAGAAATAGGGGGAAGAAAGGAGGGAAGGAAAGAAGAAAATATAAAAAGAGAAAAGGAAATAGAAAGGGAGAGAGAAAGAGAATGAAATATCAATTACGTCAGCAAACTCTTATGGTAATAAAATAAAATACGTAAGTCTCATCATCTCGATAACACAACCCTGATCTACGCCACAACGCTCACCACTGAAAGACAAAACCACTATTCAAAAGCTTATCCCGAAAGAGATGGTCGCCTCTGAGTTTACTATCTTTTGTGTTATTATTAATACTCTTTTTTGCTGAACGACTTCCTGGAAGTCTTGAAACTTTCTTTGAGCTTCTCTTCATCTTTAAGCAGATGTTGCCCTCTCGACTGCACGACCCGGAAGAAGCCTCTCTTGGACCCTGCTGAGAGTCGTTTTTTTCATTCATTTTTTTTTTCTCTTAATTGATTTTGTGAAGTGGAGAGGGCACGGGGATGAAGGAGATAAAGAGAACAAGAGAAAGAACAATAAAGAAAGAAAAAGGAAAGCAGATAAACACAAATACAGAGCAGCCGAG